CTCACATTTTTTTCCACAAAATCAAAATTAAATTAATTTTCAAAGTTTGCAAAAGTATACAACAACAACGCCTTATTCCCAAAATGATTTGGGGTCGGCAAAGTTTGCAAAAGTCTAATTTTACTAAAATGATTGTGTTCGAATCTCATTGCCCCGACTTTAGACAGAGACTTAATCTAACGAGTTGATGGACATTCTTACAGCTAAAGCTTCTTAAGATTACAGACTTACAAAGTAAAAAGATAATCTAAGTGACTACTTACTCTTGCTTAAGAGTAGTTTGATTCTTTGTGATTAATGAACTACTTTGGAGGACAAAATGTAACTACATATCTTGGTGCTCTGCATCTGTTAAGACTCGATGAATCGTCGTATGCGTAAGTGTATGCCTTTGGACAAATGGCCTTGAACAGATTAGCAAAGACGGTAGGCTTACAGGTTTTAGGATCTGAAAACTCGCCTGTACAGCAGTACTTGGCAGATTGCATAGCTAAGCAAGCACTCTTACAACCAACCACTTTATTACCCTTCTTAACTTCCAGTGCTGATGGACAACAGACATTCAGATCAGCATCGCATTTAGCAACACCACATCCGACCCCTCCCCCTACCGGTTTCATTGACACAGGCAAGTTGAATCCATCAACGAGGCTGACATCGTAGTAATGTAGAGGAGAGACTGATGAACCGAATGTCATTTCAACCACCGTAGTTGGGGGGACTCCACTTGTGCCGCGGCAGTGAATTTGGCTAGCACAGTCACCAGTCTCACACTGCCCTTTTCCTTCTGCATCAAAACTGCAACCTTGCCTACCCCATAACCTTCCTGCCCATTTGTCAGGCAGGTCTAGAACAACTTCCTCGCCGCTGTTGAGTTTGAAGCCACCATCTTTGGGATTTTGCTGACCCGGGTTTCCTAAGATTCCCGGCCACAGCTCTTCATTACAGTTGTTCACTATTATCAACTGAACAGCAGCGTCTGTAATCGAAAAAACAGTCAGTTTTTTTTGTACTGTCAAAAACAAACATGTTAATGAAAGAACAAGAGGCAATATTTACAACAAGATTTACCTGTAATAGAGATTAAAACTAACAGATTCAGGAAACAAGAAGAAAGAAAAAGGTTTCCCATAGATTAGCTTTAGAATGTGGTATGTTCAACACTAAGTTGAGGCAGTGATTGACTGATTATTAGGGAAACTTCACTTAAGAGTTCTGCTTCACTCCACCCACAAATCTTCATATTTATTGGGTAAAATAACTTGAGACAATCTTCCAGAATTGAATATCTTTGTATCACTTCGATGTATTTTTAAATCCACTTTTCTTCCTTTCTCTCTCCATCTTTTTTTTTTTCTAGTATAATATTGGTACCTTATTCTTTGATGATCATTATTTGAAATTGCAAAAAAAATCCATTTTGAGAAAATGGGAATTTATCCATTGCTTCCAAGACAAGGTGCTCGTTATTTTATGTCCTAGTCATCTAAGATCAAAGAAGAAAAAGGAAGTATACTCACAACTTTAATAGGATTAGTAAAATAATCACGACTTCCAATTAACTCTAAATAATTATCCCATTATTAGTGTTTTTTTCGGGTCAATTAATATTTCCTTAGGTTTTTTTGTAATTAGATGACTTTTATTTTTAATTTTACTTTCGCTAATGCAAAAGTTCATCTTCAATTCTTTGAGTCTCGATGAACACTTAAACATGTTTATCTTTAGAAAATTTACATTGGTATAAATCTAATAAACCCTCGTTTCTATTTAATTCACTAGCATTCTTAAAATAACACTATTCACATACTTTTCTTGACCCTGTTTTATAATTTATACGTAATGAAAATGTAGTCATGTGATATTTAACCTTTTTATAAACAAATTAGGGTTGTGATTGCATGATGTACGTGGTAAACTCAATTAATCTCGAAAAATACTTTTTTTCTCGAAAATTATTTGTATTTACTATACTTCTGTTTACTTAGGTATATGCTTAGATTGTTTTCAAAAAAAAAAAAAAAAGAAAAAAAAAAAAGGTATATGCTTAGATAAAGTGAAATACTGAAATAGGATACCTCCAATTCTCCATATGACCATATCCATTTTGTCTGCCCAAATGCGCAAAGGAATTTAATGGTTGCTTCTTCCATGGGTTATACTTGATAACTAATAAATCCCTATAAACTAATCACCTAGTACTTCAAAGTCTATAGATTCGAAAGAACTATGCTATTATGTAGTGGAAGCCGAAAGTTAAACTATTATCTTATTTTTAACCTGGTTAAAGTACAAGGTTGGAGCAAAGTATCTGTCCAGGTTACTCAATTTGAGTAACAAATTGTGTTACTCAAATGGCATTTTATGTAAATATGGCTTCTTCTTCCCCTTCTTCCTCCTCCCTCATTTCTCATTTATAAACACAACCCCAACCACCATCATTTCCGGCAGATCCGCCGCCACCACCATCACCAGCATCTCAGTCTTCTTCTTCCCATCTTGGCGGGCCCAGAAATTTCCGATTGGTGAGTCACAATCGATAACCAAATATGTAAAAAAAATTTTGACAACATGACAAGCTTAGCTCTCTAATAATTGACAAAGCATTAGGGTGTATTGACAATTTGACAGACATAATTGTCTATATCATTAGGGTGGGTCGACTATATCATAAGCAATTGTCCGAATCGCCAATCAAATCAGCACATATGCAAAACCTCATATAAACTACCAAAGCTAATGGTGTATTGACAATTTGACAGACATAATTGACATCAATAAACACCCTAAATAAATATTGACTACAATTCACAGGGTTAAAAAGGTTCAAATTTCATCAAAAACCCAACAACATTAACAAAAGGTTTAAAGTTTACCAAACAAACAGCAATAAAATCAACCAAAGAAAATAATTTTTTTTTTTTAAAAAAAACACTTAGAAATTTTTTTGGGCCCTGGTGAGTCATTTGACATTTGACTCACCATCCACAAGGCTAGGTCCGCCAATGCGGCGGGCATCTTCCTTCCTCAACAACGACCCTTACGTCGCTCACAAGCCCCGACCCCATCATTTCCGGCGTCCGTTCCGGCCGATCTAACCATAACGACCCTAACGCCGCTTCACGGCAAGAACAAAAAGACACCATAATTGTAAAAGTGTAAAGTATGGCCATATCAACCCCCTAGGGAAAGCTTATACTTCACGGCAGCACTTTCAACCACCATAGGTGGTGGTGGTGGTGTGCAATTATGTTCAGCGGCGACGAAGTGATGATGGTGGTGGCTATGGTGGATGTAATGATGGTGGTGGTTGGATGGTTGAGGTAGAAGAGGAGTGAGGAGAGAGAAAGTTGATAGTTGAATGGGTATTATAGAAAAGTCAAAAGTACCCTTATTAATGCTAGTTCAAATTACCAACATGCCCTTTGAGTAACAAATCATGTCACTCAAATTGAGTAACTTGAATTTCCTCTGTCCTTACGGAGTGCTATACTCACTGAGAACTGTTTTTGGTGTATCCACGTATTATAAACTTGGTTAAACCTTATTCAATAAAGGCGATTGCTCAATAATTTTAATGGCCACAAAATTATAGCCTCGGTATAAAAAATAAAGATCTAGCAGACTAATTATCACATCGTGTAAAGTATATTAAAAGATAACTAAATAATTATAATGAACAACTTAATATTTTAAAAAGTTTAGTTTAGATTTTATAAAAAAAAACAAATGTAATCATTTACATATAATCCTTTTTTCTAATAAGATATTTTATTTAAAACAAGTATTATTGTTAGAATTTTTTTTTAAAGTGACGCCATCAATTGTCTCTTTTAGCTTAATTTTGTCTTTATTATTATGTCATGTAATGTAATTAGTTAATTCCCGAGCCATACTCGGATTTTTAAATTAATATATATGTTAAGTACGAGTCTGGGTCGCACCTACAAATTAAGAGAGAGTCCACTTCACAAGTTCAAGGAGGTTCCATTCCAAAATCATATGGCAATAAGAGGAGTAGCTCATTAGCAGTGTTTTAGCTCTCTCTTCTTTTTATCAATGTGGGACTCTTACATGCGTTATTTGGTGGGATATACTTCAACACTCCCCCTCACATGTAAGGTCCCCTTTAACTCAAGGATCACATGATCCAATTCAATTTGGCCCAGAATACTTAATGCCATTAAAGGTCCTAAACCATAGGTCTGGCAATATACTCAAGCCATTAGAGGTAGAGGTTACAAATCGTGAACCTGGCTCTGATACCATGTTAAATACGGGTCTAGGCTGCATCCGCAAATCAAGAGAGATAATCCACTTTACAAGTCTAAGGAGATTTCATCCCAAAATCATATGGCAATAGGAAGAGTAGCCCCCTAGCTTTATAAAGTGTTTAACTCTCTTCTTTTTATCAATGTGGGACTTTTACCTGCGTTATTTGATGGGATATACTTCAACAATATATCATAAAAATCAAAATTTACTCAATCTATTTTGTAATCAATTGCAAGTTTTATAAAATTCGGCTTAAAAAATATTATGTGCTTCATACATTATAATATCTATTCTAAGGAAAATATAATTAGGATTTAGTATGTAGTATAGATTTTAGAGTTGCATATTCTTTTTGTATTAATTGTAAATTATGTATGTATATAATAAAAAAAGTAGTTGCATATTTGTGGGAGTAAAAATTGGTAATTTTTATTTTCCGTCAAAAAAAATAATTGATAATTATAACTCATATTTCAATTCGTTTAATCTATGTAAAAGGTTGATAATTTAAACTCACATTCAATTTGTTAATCAATTTATAAAAATTGACATGATTTTAATTGGGTAAAATTGTTAACTTGAAAAAACTCGTTTAACCAATCAACTAACACGAAGAAACATAACATGTTTGTTAGATCTAGCTTAAGATGTGAAAGTTATTCAATTCAGTCCGTATTTGACCAACTTTCAATCATCAGGAGTTTTTTCAATTTGACTTGGGTAAATATATAAACCTTTAACCTAGTCTTCTTACATGGTCAATGACGTTTTCTTACACTTGAGTTAATTCATTAGAAATTCATTTTGTCAACTCTTTAAGTTTCTAGACAATAAAAAAAAGATAGTCATGTACTCATGTACCTCATATTTTAAACATACCAAGTCCAAGAGTATTTTACTTGTAAATTCTCAATAATTATACGACGTTATTATTAATTATATAATTAAACAACCAAAAGCATGTGATTAAGTCCAAGTATTCCAAAAGTTATGGACTCCATGAATTTAGAATGAGCTAGCCACGACGAAAAACACGCCAATTCCAACTCCCTCAAAAAAATAAAATAAAAGATAAAATTGCATAATCTAAACCCCTTAAAACAGGAAGAGACAAGTATATATCCAACTAACTACTTATAAATCAACGACTCTTCGAAATTCTTGCCTCTTCTACTAATTATCCTACCCAAATCTATCAATTTTCTTCTTTTGCATCCAATTTTTTGGGGTACAACTTTTTTACCCCTATTTTCACAAAAACAAAATCTCTCCCAAATTAATTTTGCCATTTTTTTTTTCGTTTTCGAAACTTACTTTCCCTTTCTATTATCATCTTTGTTTGTTGCATTTGTTCTATAAGTCTGTTTTTTCCTCTTATCTCGATGTTCATTCCAAATTCATCACATTAATTTTAACCATCTCCTAATTTGGAGATTGTAACGAGATAATAATACAAAGAAAGGTACGTAAGTCAAACGTTCTTGTTTATTTATTTGGAGGGATCTAAATTTAAGGTAATGGATCAAGCAGAACTTAAAAGAGTTTTTCAAATGTTTGACCGGAATGGAGATGGGAAGATCACGAAAAAGGAGTTAAACGACTCTCTACAAAATTTGGGAATATACATTCCCGATAGAGAGCTTAGTCAAATGATAGAAAAGATTGACGTAAACAAGGATGGTTACGTCGATATGGAAGAGTTTGGTGCATTGTACCAAACAATAATGGACGAGAGGGACGAGGAGGAGGACATGAGGGAGGCGTTCAACGTGTTTGATCAAAATGGTGACGGTTTTATAACCGTCGAGGAGTTGAGATCGGTTTTACAATCATTGGGTTTGAAGCAAGGAAGAACAATTGATGATTGTAAGAAGATGATTAGCAAGGTGGATGTTGATGGTGATGGAATGGTTAATTATAAAGAGTTTAAGCAAATGATGAAAGGTGGTGGATTTGCTGCTTTAGGTTCATAGATGATTTACAGTTTTGTTTTTTCTTGATTGCTAAGATATCGAAACCTCGAAAGAAAGAAAGAAAAACAAAAGGAAGATTAATATTAACAAGATTGAAGAAGAAAAGTATATTGATTAATCCTCAATAGAGGAGGATGCATGGGGAGAGATCATAGTAAGATCTCTATTTTGTATGAATTCATGGAAAATTGTAATTTTGATTCTTGTAAAACCTAGATTATCAATGATGGGGTTTTGTTCACATTGAGATTTGTGGTAAATTTCTTCAATTTTCTTTCTTTTCTGTTCCTTTCTTTTTTAATTTTTTGTACATTAGTAACTAAAATGCTATTAATCATAGATTTATAATTTTTTGTACATTTTTCTTTTCAGCTAATATGCAATAATATCAGGCTCACACACCTCGAGTATGGGAATTGAATAACTAAATTAATACTAGTTCAACCTTAATTGGCTTAATTTAACTCAATCTTTGTCTCTTATCCGTGTTCATGTAATTATACTAACTGTTTGCCCATCCTTAAACCAAGTAATGATCAGTACAAGCATATAGCCTAAAGGATACTGGATAAGTGGATTGAAAATTCGAAAAGCCAATAGGACCAAACAGCTGACGACCCTCTTAAATCAGACGATACACCTGAGGGATTGCAAAGATAGATAGGATTAGACAGCCAGAACCACGCAAAGAGAGTGTATTATCTACAACATCCATGATCTTCTAAAAACTCCATCCACAATCTTACTGTAATCAAAACTCCAGAAAAGCCTTCAGAGTTTAAACAGCCAATCCTCTAGATCCGGTCTATAACTGGTCACGTAATTGTGGTCATGTGAGGGATAAGAGGGAAAGTAAAAAACGCTCATGTGGTTTCATAGTAGGACATAGAATGATAGACTTCACGAAAATGGAGTGACTTTCTTTTTGTGCAGTAAAACTTTCACTCAACTAGCAGAAACTGCTAACTATGTTAACTTGACACCCTGTTGCACGTTGAGTGTCGAATGTCGGATCTTTCAACACAACACCTAAATACAGAGTATATAGCTTTATATGGATTTTTTTTTTTAAATCTGGAGTGTCAGAGGATCCAACATATCAGGCACAACACCCAAATCCAGTCTAAGCAACATAGACTGCTAGGTAACTTTCTCTGTGGTGCGAGACATAAACGCCGAGGAGGTACAGGCATGCAGCTACTCATGAGGTCACTACCTGGTTTTTTTTTTTTTTTTTTTTTTTTTTCAGTCTACCAATCTCCTTTCTAGTATCTACTCCCAAAAGCTGGAATTCTCGAGTATTTCTACCTAAAATTAACCACTAACTACAATCAATCTTAAATAGTAATCCAAGTAATGCCAGTTGGTTCACATCCTTCATTTTCTTTACACTCCCCAGTGCTACAAAACTCGGGATCCTTTGTCAAAAAAAAAAAAAAAAAAAAAAAAAAAAAAAACTCGGGATCCACAACACAAGTCTCCAAAGTTCTTAAGATCTCAGCAGTACATAACACCAGTCCATCACCGTCCAATAACAAGTTAAACTAGTAACCATAATCTAAGGCAAGTCATCCTGTTAATATATACATCATCACCTTCATCAAACTCCCAACCCCGATCTAACCAAACCAGTAAACATAATCTAAGGCAGGTCATCCTGTCAATTTATACATCAACACCTTCATCAAACTCCCGACCCCAATCTAACCAAACTAGAAACTGACAAAATTTGGAACTAGCAAGTTAGCCAATAGATTTATTTGAGAGCAAAAGATAAATCGTAATCTAAATTTAACCTTGAACAGAGCCTAATCAATCACAATATCTTCAACATACAATATCACAAAGCTATAAAGATACTTCTGGGGGGAAGCAATTGCAATAACCCCATTTAAGCTTATACAAGGAAGTGCTTCTGGTTTTCCAACCGTTGACCTACAATCAGCAAAAGAAAACATATGAGCTTTCACCCCGACCAAAATTTCAAGAAATCAGTCAATGAGATCCATCATAATTGAAGGCTTGAAGTGCAGGTACCCAAATTGCTTTCTGTAAGCCTCCAGAAGCCATGCAAGACGGTAAGTCACTTCTGGCAAAAGGCAATGGTCTCCTCTGATCCTCTCTTGAGCTCAGGGTAAAGATGAACGAGAGCGAAAAAAAAAGGAAAAAAAAAAAAAATCGATCAAAAGAGGCACAGAACTACCAGAGAACAAGCATAAATATTCTGATGCTGAACTGTTCAGTCAAATTAGTGAACCACAACATATGTTTGGGAGAAAACATAGAAATGGATAACATCTAGGCAAGTTTATCCATGAATATCCTCATACCCCTAATCTGACATATACCTATGAATTTCTACTCCTCACAAGCAAAATCAGATATAAAGATGAATGATGTACCAAGTTTAGAGCATCATAGCTTAGCAAGTCCCATCCATCACAACAAAATCATTTAAGAAATGACAACCAGATTTAATGTTACAAAAGTAAGCAAAGCATTAGTAAAGTATAGCAAAGCAAATGGATGGTGGTACACCAGCAGCATCTAATACTGAATCCAATCTCAGGATGACCAATGTACTACCATGAAGGCAGTACAAATAAGACTCTGGTTATCAGAGAATAGAATACCTGCCAGGTTGGGCCCCACCTGGAAGAGAGATAGCTTGCGATGTGATATCCTCCAAAACCCTCTTCAGTTCTGCTTTAGCTGTTTTGACTGAATGCTCTGAACGTCCCTCAATGAAGAGGTATAGTTTACGTTCATTAGGACCTGCAATCTTGCCAGGAGGGTAGTACTGTCCCCTAGTTGTGATGGCAGCTCCAGTCCAGTCAGATATAGGACCCAAGGTCTCCTTATGGGTCACCTTCCAGCGAGCGTTCTGTGGGAAATCATTGATTTCAAGTTCTGCCTCATAGTGCTCAGGCATTGCATCTTGTTGTAGCTTAGCTAAATTCTGTTGTATCTTCATTGCTGCGGCGAGGGCAACTGCCCTAGCTGGATTATCTGCTGAATTGATTGACAGTATAGAGCCAGGCACTGAGCCAGCTGTGCCCGACACCGAGGCAGGATGCCCTGTGGTATCTGATAACCCTTGCCCACCAAGAGCAGGGTTGGGTACAGTAACATCTGTTCTTTTGCGGACTTCATCGTCTTCATCCTCTGAATCTGACTTGTCAAACTCAAAACCATACTCTTTGGCCTGCGCTTTCTTTGCTGCTTTCCGTGCTTCATCCTCCTGCTCATCAAACTTAAACCCACTTCCACCATAACCTGTTCCATGGGCTTGCTCAAGACCCTGTCTCACCTTTGCCAAGAACCCATCGGCAAGCGCTTTCAAATCCTGTGGAAGGGGCTGCTCTGAGAGTTCCAAAGCTTTCACAAGATCAGGAGCATATCTTTCTTCATCTTCAGAGATAAAAGTAATAGCATGCCCCTTACGACCAGCACGACCTGTCCGGCCAACACGATGAACATAGTCTTCATAATGGTTGGGGACATCGAAATTAACTACTAGCTCAAGATCCTTTACATCAAGACCCCTAGCAGCAATGCTAGTTGCAATCAATAAGTTGCACACATTACTCTTAAAATCTGCAAGGGTGGATTCACGGTCCCCCTGATCTTTTCCACCATGAAGAGAAAGACAAGGATAACCACTCTTGAGTAAATCCTTAAACAATGCATCACATTTATCTTGGGAATGGACAAAGACCAGAATCTTTCCCTTTTCATACCACTCCCCAAGCAGTTCCAGGAGTCTAAGAAACCTTTCACTTTCAGGCCTAACTTCAACCATCTGGGTTATGTCTCTGTTGACAACACTTCTCCCACCAACCTGGATTTCCACCGGTTTATTCAGGACTTTCTTTGCCAAAACCTCAACCTGACGAGGAAAGGTAGCAGAAAATAATACAGTTTGACGGTCTGGTCTTATATTCTGGACAATTCTCGTTATCTGAGGTTCAAAACCCATATCAAACATCCTGTCAGCTTCATCCATGACCAAGAAGGTAACTCTTCTAAGATTTGTTATTTTTCCACCACTTGTACAAAGTATATCTATCATTCTACCAGGGGTGCATACAACAATCTCTGCTCCTTTCTTCAGATCACCTATTTGCTGCGCAACACCTGAGCCACCAAATACAGGTACAGAGGTCAAATTCATTACTTTGGCAAATTTCTTTATGTCATTGTGAATTTGCTGGACTAGCTCTCTTGTAGGGGCCATAATAAGTCCAATTGGACCATCTCCAGACATCAAAGGTGGCTGGTCCTTAATGTGCCTCAACATTGGCAACACAAAAGCCAAGGTCTTTCCCGAACCAGTTTTTGCAATACCAATGCAATCTCGACCACTCATAATTACGGGCAAAGCCTGAGTTTGGATTGGCATCGGCTTCTCAAAGTTCATCTTTCTGATTACCTCCAGAATTTTAGTTGTTAGTCCAGTTTGGTGCCAGGTTTTGATAGGCTTTGGCACATCTTTTCCATGAACTTTCAGCTCCAGCTCCTTCCTGTAAGCATCAACTTCCTCAAGAGTCATCTTTGCAATATCCTTTACTTCAATGTAAAAATTCTTCCTGACATCTATGTAATCAATCTTTGAATGATCAACTATGGCTAATTTTTCAGCTTTAGTCTTCTTCACCCTTTTAACAAACTCATCATCATCTTCATCCTCTAAGTTCATTCCCCCATCCTCTTGATCCTCGTACTCAGGGTCTGAATCCTCGTCAGGCATTATTCTTCCAAGAAATTTCTTTGGAGCTTTCTTAGACACCTCACCATTGCTTTGTTCAATATTTTTAGCCTTGCCATTCAATTCAGTACTTTCTGTATCAAGCACAGCACTACTCAGTTTCTCAACTTCAGGCAACACCATTGAGTTCATAAAGGCATCCAGAGGATCAATATCTTCCTCTTCAGCTGCAGCTGCAGCAGCACCCCCATTAGGTAATGCATTTCCATTCTCAACATCAACGGCCATAGGGTCACCAGCTTCAACTGGCGGTTTAAATACTCTATCCACATCCATATCTGTATCTGACTGCCCTTCTGTAGCAGCTTCTTCATCATCAGATTCACCTTCTAGTGTCCATTTCTTACCTGCTTTAGGTTCTTCAGCATTTGCCTCCCCAAGCTGCTGTCGTTCCTCTTCTTCCTTTTTCCTTCTCAGCTCTTGCCATTCCTGAACTCTCCTCCTCCGTTTCTCCATCTCATCATCCAATCTCTTCTGTTCCTCCTCCATGTCCTGTTCCTTTGTCTCCATTGATTCCTGAATTCTGTCAGGCTCATCATCACTCTTCTTCTTCTGGCTGTCCACACTATCATCCCGGTGCCTATGTGATCTGCTTTTATCTTGATCTTTTGATTTACTTCTTTCTCGGTCTCTTGATTTACTCCTTTCTCGGTCTCTCTCCTTGTTCTCATCATCTCTCCTTCGCCGTTTCCTATCTCTGTCCTTCCTCTCATCACCACTGTCATCACTTACTGCTTCACGTTGCCGCCTCTCTCTCTCCTTAACTCTTTCTTCCCTCACCCTTTCCCTCTCCCTTTCACGTTCTCTCCTCTCACGTTCTCTTTCTCTTTCCCTCCTCTCCCTCTCCCTCTCTTTATCTCTTTCCCTTTCCCTCTCCCTCTCCCTCTCCCTCTCCCGCTCCCTTTCTTTCTCCCGTTCCCTCTCTCTATCCCTTTCTTTCTCCCGCTCCTTCTCTTTCTCCTCTCGTTCTCTGTCCTTTTCCTTCTCCTTTTCTCTCTCTTTCTCTCTACTTTCTCTATCTCCATCCTTATCTTTGTGATCCTTTTTCCGCTCCTTCTCCCTATCCCTGTGTTTATCCCTGTGCTTCTCTCTATCCCGGTCCCTTTCCCTCTCCCTATGCTTATCATCTACACTTTTATCTCTCTCCGACCGCCTACTCTCCCTATCCCTCTCCTTCTCCCTGTCTCTCTTCTTCTCCTTTTCCCCATTCCTTTCCTTATCCCTGTCCCTTTCTCTTTCTTTTTCATGTCCACGGCCACGACTCCTTCTAGATTCCTCCTTCGTCTCATTCTCTTCCTTCCTCGACTTTGATCTCACATCCTCAGATTCCCCCATAGATTCTCCCAATCAATTCAACAACAAAATAGTCGTATTGTTTCAAAAAGACTATTGCCTTGTAAACTAATGAATTCCTCAATTAACGCTTGCTTTACCGCCTACAACTGCAGCCAGAAAAACACTAATTTAGTAGTGTGAGAAATTGAAAGACAATAAACACACACATATCAAATTCAGGGGCAATTTCATAGTTCAATCCTAAAATTAACAAATCAGGCTTCGAAATTTCACATAATTT